GGGGGGGGGGGGCGTGGGGGGGGGAGGGGGGGGGGGGGGGGGGGGGGGGGGGAGAGGCCCGCGCGTTTTTGCGGCGCGATTTTTTGGGAATTCCGGGATTTTGGAATTCCGGGATTTTTTTCCCTCAATCCCGAAAGTTCCAGAACAGCTCCGAAACCCCCGAGGAGCCTCCGCTTCAATTTCCACCCCCCCACCCTCTTTCCCCTCCCCCGCTCTCACCATGGCGGCCGCTCCCTCAAAGCGCCGGGTCCGCCGCGATCCCAGCGGCCCCCGCGGCAACGTCGGCAGCCGCGCAGGCGCGCGAAAACGCGAAATCTCGCGAGACCCGCCGCCATCTTGAGAAGGTCGCGGAGCGGGGGCGGGGGAGCGGCCGCGCCGCCATTTTGAGGAGGGACAAATAAAAAGGGGCCAAATTTGGGGTTTTTTGGGGTGAATTTGGGGGTTTTTGGGGTGAATTTGGGGTTTTTTGGGGTGAATTTGGGGGTTTTTTGGGTGCGGCCGAGCGGATTTCGGAGGGATTTTGAAGGAATCCCCGTGAGGTTTTGCTGGCGCCCCTCCCCCCACCCTTCATTTCAAAGGGCGTCACCCCCAAAATTTTTAATTGGGGGGGGTGGGGGAGGGGCGTGACCCCTCCCCCCCCACCCCCGGAGCGGCGTGGGCGAACCCGTCGGACGGCGTCGGCCCCTCCCCCACCCCGCCCCTCCCCCTTTCCCCCATTTAAAGGGGTTCGGGGGGTGGGGGAGGGGCGGGAGCCGCCATGGGGACCCCGAGGTCGCTGCTGCCCCTCCCCCACCTCCTGCTGCTGCTGCTGACCGCCCTCGCCTGTGACGTCACGCCCGGGGACCCCCCCGCCGCCAGTAAGGGCCCTGCCCCTCCCCCCACCCGTGGGAAAAAAAAATTGGGGGGGGGGGGGGGGATTTGTCCCACCCCTCCCCCACCCCGCAAAAAAATTTGGGATTTTGGGGGGTTCCGGGTGGAAATTTGGGGATTTTTCGGTGGGAATTTGGGGATTCCGGGTGGAAATTTGGGGATTCCCGGGTGGAAATTTGGGGTTTAAAGTGGAAATTTGGGGTTTAAAGTGGAAATTTGGGGATTTTTGGTGGGAATTTCGGGTTTAAGGGGGAATTTTGGGAATTCCCGGGTGGAAATTTGGGGTTTAAAGTGGAAATTTGGGGATTTTTGGTGGAAATTTGGGGATTCCGGGTGGAAATTTGGGGATTCCGGGTGGAAATTTGGGGATTTTTGGTGGAAATTTGGGGATTCTGGGTGGAATTTTGGGGTTTAAAGTGGAAATTTGGGGATTTTTGGTGGAAATTTGGGGATTTTTGGTGGAAATTTGGGGATTTTTGGTGGAAATTTGGGGATTTTTGGTGGAAATTTGGGGATTCCGGGTGGAATTTTGGGGTTTCAGGTGGAAATTTGGGAATTCCAGGTGGAATTTTTGGGGATTCTGGGTGGAATTTTGGGGTTTAAAGTGGAAATTTGGGGATTTTTGGTGGAAATTTGGGGATTTTTGGTGGAAATTTGGGGATTTTTGGTGGAAATTTGGGGATTCCGGGTGGAAATTTGGGGATTTTTGGTGGAAATTTGGGGATTTTTGGTGGAATTTTGGGGATTTTTGGTGGAATTTTGGGGTTTAAAGTGGAAATCTGGGAATTCCAGGTGGAATTTTGGGATTTCAGGTCAAAATTTCGGGGTTTTTGGGGAGGAATTTCGGGGTTTTTGGGGATGGAATTTTGGGGTTTTTTTGGGAGGTTTCGCCCCCCCCTGACCCCCCCCCCCTTTTCCCCCAGATGGGTCCCGGGGGCTCTCGGAGATGCAGCTGGGTGAGGCCAAAATGTCCCAAAATGACCCCAAAATATCCTAAAATGACCCCAAATTGGCCCAAAATGACCCAAAATGAACCCAAAATGACCCAAAATGGCCCAAAATGACCCAAAATGACACCAAATGGCCTCAAAATGTCCCCAAATGTCCCAAAATGACCCCAAATGACCCCAAATGTCCCCAAATGTCCCAAAATGACCCCAAAATGACCCAAAATGACCCAAAATGACCCCAAAATGACACAAAATGACCCAAACTGACCCAAAATGACCCCAAAATGACCCAAAATGACCCCAAAATGACCCAAAATGACCCAAAATGGCCCAAAATGACCCCAAAATGGCCCAAAATGACCCAAAATGACCCAAAATGGCCTCAAATGACCCCAAAATGACCCAAAATGACCCAAAATGACCCAAAATTACCTCAAATAACCCCAAACCCCCCAAATTCCCCCCAAACCCCTCGAACCCCCCCCCAAATCCCCAAAATCCCTCAAAATCCACCGAAATTCCCCAAATCCCCCCAAATTCCCACCCAGGACCCCCCAAAATCCCCCAAATCCCTTAAATTCCCCCAAATCCCCCCAAATTTCCCAAA